TACAGTGATAGGCGTCATATTCCTATAGGTAGAGGATCAGCTGATAATACTGAAGAGCTTATATATGAATACAGTGATAGGCGTCATATTCCTATAGGTAGAGGATCAGCTGATAATACTGAAGAGCTTATATATGTGTACAGTGATAGGTGTCATATTCCTATAGGTAGAGGATCAGCTGATAATACTGAAGAGCTTATATATGAATACAGTGATAGGCGTCATATTCCTATAGGTAGAGGATCAGCTGATAATACTGAAGAGCTTATATATGTGTACAGTGATAGGCGTCATATTCCTATAGGTAGAGGATCAGCTGATAATACTGAAGAGCTTATATATGTGTACAGTGATAGGTGTCATATTCCTATAGGTAGAGGATCAGCTGATAATACTGAAGAGCTTATATATGAGTACAGTGATAGGCGTCATATTCCTATAGGTAGAGGATCTGCTGATAATACTGAAGAGCTTATATATGAATACAGTGATAGGCGTCATATTCCTATAGGTAGAGGAACAGCTGATAATACTGAAGAGCTTATATATGTGTACAGTGATAGGTGTCATATTCCTATAGGTAGAGGATCAGCTGATAATACTGAAGAGCTTATATATGTGTACAGTGATAGGCATCATATTCCTATAGGTAGAGGATCAGCTGATAATACTGAAGAGCTTATATATGTGTACAGTGATAGGCATCATATTCCTATAGGTAGAGGATCAGCTGATAATACTGAAGAGCTTATATATGTGTACAGTGATAGGCGTCATATTCCTATAGGTAGAGGATCAGCTGATAATACTGAAGAGCTTATATATGTATACAGTGATAGGCGTCATATTCCTATAGGTAGAGGATCTGCTGATAATACTCAAGAGCTTATATATGTGTACAGTGATAGGCGTTATATTCCTATAGGTAGAGGATCTGCTGATAATACTCAAGAGCTTATATATGTGTACAGTGATAGGTGTCATATTCCTATAGGTAGAGGATCTGCTGATAATACTGAAGAGCTTATATATGTGTACAGTGATAGGTGTCATATTCCTATAGGTAGAGGATCAGCTGATAATACTGAAGAGCTTATATATGTGTACAGTGATAGGCGTCATATTCCTATAGGTAGAGGATCAGCTGATAATACTGAAGAGCTTATATATGTGTACAGTGATAGGCGTCATATTCCTATAGGTAGAGGATCAGCTGATAATACTGAAGAGCTTATATATGTATACAGTGATAGGCGTCATATTCCTATAGGTAGAGGATCAGCTGATAATACTGAAGAGCTTATATATGTAACAGTGCGTATCTGTGCGTTCATTCATTCATTCATTCATTCATTCACACACACACACACAAACATGATTCACATTTAAACAGTATGCTATTTTTCCGTTTACAGACACTAATGTTATTCTATATCGCGATTAGAACAAAGCACTTGTAAGCATAAAACACTTACACTTCTCAGCTGAATCTGTTCATCCTCGAAGTGAAAATAAACCCAGTGGTAAATTGTCCCAGGTTTGTTCCTCATATAGCCGCGCAAGACGACAGTAGATTAATCTGACTAAAAAATAATGTGTGTTATCAGAGTTTATGGGCGTTAACGTGTCTCAATGTGTTGCTTCACATATTTGCGTTTGAATAGCGCGTGCTCTCCGTGGGCGTGTCACATTACCAGAGATAATCAGCTGAGAGAACGATAATGAGACGGGCTGACACGTCTCTCTTTTTATATAGATGACATAAACGGAGAATATTAATTTTAGTTTTGAATCGGATCATTTAAAAGTACAAACTCAAATGATTTAAAAGATATATTGCTTATGGCTGGGTGAATAGTATTAGCTGAGTTGTGTTGAAGATTAGAGACGTGCTCCAGAAAAAAAGTTCACGGTGACTGAGAGGCAGAAGGCACACCCTGTTTATTTTCTTTATTATTTTCTCATATTTCTTAACTCTATATGAACAGAAATGATGGTAGTACTTTAACCCTCTGGGGACCAAGGGTTTTTTGAGGCCCTTGGGATGTTTTGACATGCACTGACATTTGTGCTTTTTTCAGTTATTTATAAACATGTTAATGGCAACGGTGTAAATTCACTCTATATAGCACAAACGGGTCTACCATAATATTTGAACAACATGTATGTACATGTTTGTATTTTTGAGAGAATATTATTTATGCATGGTTATTGAAAAACTTAAAAATAAAAGTTTCTGAAATAAGGCCACAAAACACATATTGATTATTTATTCACAAGACTTTAGAAAATTGTATCACATAGCCTAGAATATTTGCTCCAAAACTATGTGAGAATCATCCTGACTACTCATTCAGATAAGTCAATAAAGTCTTTTATAATGTGTATGACGTGTTTAGTGTGAGAAAGCTTTATGCGAGGAGGCGTGATCTCTCATTAATATGTATGGCATTTCACACCTGAGAAAGACAAAGACCCTCCCCATAATGGCCCTATTAGGTGCTATCAGGCCCTTATGAGGAGCCTTGCACAAAGAATGAGGAGATTTAAAAAAGAATGGCTTTTAGATTGTTTGGATTTATTTACAACACAACATAATCCAAAGATACACAACAAAGGACTGGTTTCTGGTTAAAATTGCTTTTTAATTATATATACACTACCGTTCAAAAGTTTGGGGTCGGTACGATTTTAAATACTTTTAAAAGAATTCTCTTCTGCTAACCATGGCTGCGCTTATTTGATTAAAAATACAACAAAAATCGGTTCTAGTATTAAATATTATTCCAGTGTAAATCAGCTGTTTTCTGTGTGAATATATAGTAAAGTGTAATTTATTCCTGTGATCAAAGCTGAATTTTCAGCATCACCAGTGTCAGTGTCTTCAGTGTCAAATGATCCTTCACAAATCAGTATAATATGAGGATTTGATGCTCAAGAAACATTTATTATTATTATCAATGTTGAAACAGTTGTTGGTCTGTCAGTTGTACAGTTTTTTTTTTTTTTTTTTTAGGATTCTTTGATGAATAGGAAGTTCAAAAGACTTTTGTAACATTATAAATGTCTTTACTGTCACTTTCGATCAAATTAATTATTCCTTGATAAATAAAAGTATTGATTTCTTTCCTCCAAAAAATAAAAATAAAATTCTCACTGACCCCAAACTTTTGAACGGTAGTGTATATACACACACACACACACACACACACTGCTTAGAATAAGTGAAAACACCCATGCTAAAGTTGACTAAGAAGAGGAATAAAAAATCTTAATGCCTTAATTTAAAAAATGTGGAAAACTCTAACCTTTAGGGAAATGAATAATGTCCCTGAATTCTTTGTGAATGAATAATGTATTGCAAATAATTAAATGTTCTTCTTTAAAATACAGGGTGCATACTCTGGACACTTCTATCACACACCCTTCACCATATAGACATGGTTTTATTTCAGTTCAAAGTTAGAGTTGGAAACATCTTGAAAAGAAAATAGTCTTTTTCCATAAATGTCTTAGTTTGATCATACATATTTCAAAGTTGAGGATTCATTATTTTGATATAGCTTGCATTGGAACAAACATCTTAGTTGATTAGTTTATTGACAAAACATAAGCTTATTTGATGTCTTTATTTTGAAGCTTATTTGATGCTTATTTGATTTGAAAAACTTTATCCAAAACTAGTCAAAGAAATGTTCTTTTATTTCGTCTGTAACAGTGCGTATCTGTGCGTTCATTCATTCATTCACACACACACACACACACACACACACACACACACACACACACACACACACACACACACACACACACACACACACAGAGAAACATAATTCACATTTAAACAGTAGGATATGCTATTTGTCCGTTTACAGACACTAACGTTATTCTATATCGCGATTAGAACAAAGCACAAAACACTTACACTTCTCAGCTGAATCTGTTGCTCCTCCTCGAAGTGAAAATAAACCAGCCCTTCTGTGGTAAATGTCCCAGGATTATTCCTCATAGCCGCACAAGACGAATCTTAATCTGACTAAAAAATATTGTGTGTTTACAGCATTTGCCTGGGGGCGTTTATCTATTTTGCAAATGGCCTCAACACATTATCTTATGAATAGCGCGCTCTGCGAGTGGGTGTGAACAAATTAACGATAATGAGCTGAGACAGGAGAAACTGTACTTCTCTTTAGTTTTTGACAGATTACATTGCAGGAGAATATTTGTTTTAAATGTGAATTGTTTTATTTAAAAGTATAAATTTAAAGCGTTCTTTAGACGTATGTTTCATGTTTGTGTGATAAGTATTAGCGGAGTTTCCGTTCATTTTCCAGACATGTTTCAGAAAGATTTTTGCGGAGACAGAGTGAGCTGAAAGCGCACCCTGTTTATTTTATTTATTTTTAAAAAAACACAAGGTTTTGATGTTAATGTGAGTGTACACAAAAAAAGAAGACCCTCTATAGTTTATAATCATGTATTGATTTTATTTATATGACCATAAATGACGGAGTATTTTAAGTCTATGTTGCTGCTATGTGGAAAAAAAAACAGCAAAACGCGCGGGCGCGTTCTTGGTCCCCAGAGGGTTAAGTCTATTTTTCTGCTATGTGAAAAAAAACGAGCAAAACGCGCCGGCGCGTTTCTGGTCCCCAGAGGGTTAATGGTATTGCAGTCCTATGCTAATTTGCCCTGTTTAGTTTGCTCTTTAAGGTAGCGTGTGTGATTTCTGAGCTACCAGCACCACAAAACAGAGTTACAAAAATATATATGTTTTCGATCTGCCATTCTCATATTCCTGTTTCGACAGCACCAATCACTTATGTTTGGATAAAGTGTCAACTAAATGAATAACTCTTAGTATAAATGTATTTTTGAAAGATCACCAAAATTCAATGCTGAAAGTATAAATGCATAAAACACGTTTACAAAGCAATTGACGTTTACTGACACATCACTGTACTTTCCACGCTTTAATACTGTAATAAAGCAGTGCTGACCTTGGCAGGCTCCTGTGCGAGTGTTTGTGATGAACCCTGTGCTGCAGGACGAGCTGAGAGGAGGGCACAGCTGGCACGGGTCACCCCACGCTCGCCCCACCGTGGCACAGCACAGGGCTTTACTGCACACAAATCCCCCGCTCTGACCTGCACACTCACTGCTGAGGACCTGGGGGAAGCACGGGCCCGTTCGGTAATCTGATACAGCAATAGAAATCACAATTATCACAATCTTCAAGTCAAAAGAACAAATGATCACGTATCATTCACCAGGGAAGTAATATTATTGGACAAATACGGTTAATTTTCTCTTCATGACTTCCTGAATCTAGAAAAGCTGTGGTTGCACATGTGTGTCTGCGCTCCTGTACAGATGATGGTGAGACGGAGAGATAGCCAGCGTTAAGAAGATGCAGCCGAATGTATGCCCCAATCAGCACAAATAAAGCAAGCACATACACAACCATCTGTAAGTAATGCAGTTATTTCTTCACATAGTAATACAAATGATTTTTAATTGTTTACATTTCAGTGATTAGTATATTTCTTATAGTCATGTAAATGCAGTTACAATGTGAAAAATTGTAATGGTCCTAAAAAATAGGTGTCATTTTTTTAAAGAAAGAAAATAATTCCTTATCCATGGCAACCAATGGGACAATTATTGGAGATAGGAGCTGATATTTTGGAAGAAAAAAAGAAAAGAGAAGAAAGAAACAAAGTCCACCCATGTATTAATGGGAAGCATGAACAGAAAACATTTGTGCATTTTGAATTTGCAGACTGTTTGTTTTACCATCTCCAGAGGAATTTTAATAGCCTACATTGAACCAATGTCTGCAAAACGAACAAAGAAACATGTTCCATAAAATGATGTTTAAAGAGTCTGCGTAAAGCGGCAGCACATGGAGGCCGTCTGGAGAGAGAATGACTCGGGTAGTCTGAGCTGTCCTGTGCGCTTGACATGTGCTCTGCATTACACAACCATGAGCTTTCATTTACCGGCAGCTTCTGTGCCAAATCCTGGAGAAAAAAAAAACATTTTTGTCCTCGTTTTCTCTTTCCTTAGCATGAATACTTCTTCAAGAGTTGCAGCTAAGGTTACGATTCAACTTTAAATGGTCAGTGTTGCTCAGAATATTTTTCCATATGATACTTATTTTAATTTTCCATGTGATCCTTTACAATCACAATACAAGGCCCAAAACATCCAGCATTTCATTTTATTTCAAAACCCCTGCACTGTAAAAAAAAAAAAAAAAAAGTTGATGCCTCAAATTTTTTAGTACAATCAACTTGGATTTTCAAGTCATTTCAACTTATATTACATTAAAATGACTTAAAGGTGCCCTAGAATGTTTTCTATTATTATTTTATAATGTTTCCTGGGTTACCCTTATAATGTTAGTATGTTTTTTAGATTAAAAATAATCATAATTTAGAAATAAATGGCATTTTTCCTAGCCTGCTTTTAGCCTCTGATTTGAACACTCTGTTTGAAGGGGCGTGTCTGCTGTGGGATTCAGTGTAACCGCGGCCACTGCTGTGATTGGCTGTGGGATTCAGTGTAACCGCGGCCACTGCTGTGATTGGCTGTGGGATTCAGTGTAACCGCGGCCACTGCTGTGATTGGCTGTGGGATTCAGTGTAACCGCGGCCACTGCTGTGATTGGCTGTGGGATTCAGTGTAACCGCGGCCACTGCTGTGATTGGCTGTGGGATTCAGTGTAACCGCGGCCACTGCTGTGATTGGCTGTGGGATTCAGTGTAACCGCGGCCACTGCTGTGATTGGCTGACATGCTTGCATATGAAATAGCTACACATTACATGTGAAACTCTCTCCCGAATACTTTTACTACTGCTATTATACGTTTTTACTATAACAGCTATCAAGATTAACGAATCGTGAGATGTTTTTAAAGTATTTAGATCTATTACCATCACATAAAATGAATGAAGATCTTATCATTGCAAAGCAGTTTCTGCACTCTCTCTGCTTTCACCAATGCAAACACGATGATGTAAATACAGTAAGAGCTTCGTTGTGCAGTAACGTGCGTCATTGATTTCATAACGAGTTTGGCAAGTGTCCAGATAAACTCGCGCTGTGTGGAAAGATTGTTCTTTGATCGCTTTCTGTATATAATTTGTTCACAATTTAAATACGATTATTTTCATCCTACTAAAAGAAACGATGTGAAGCTGATATTTTAGTCACTGGCTTGACTTACTGATGCATAAACAGTATTGAACGATTTTGAGAGAAAGATTACCTGTCTGAACTTGAACAATTACACATCAGAAAGTGTTGCTTGGTAGCTCGATCCGAGGCCAGCTCTGTATTGGCCCAAGTTGAGGAAACAGGCGGTGAAATGTTTGGAAATTTCCAGAGAAAATAAAATGAACCCATTGTTTCTTCAGAGGCTCAGATGAAGGAACTAAAAAATACTTTTGTGTTCATGTGTACATCCACACTGAGCAACTGCCATGCTTCGGCTGCGCAGTTCCGCCTGGCATTGAGGGCTGGCATTATGCAAATATTTGGAGGCGTACATATTAATGATCCCGACTATTGCGTCAGAGTCGGTATTGTGTGGAGAACCGACCGTTTTTCAGGGGTGTTTTTCATAAACGTGAATTAAATGAGAACGCGAAAACAGTCCAGTTTGAGATTCACTCTATGTCATGTCCATGCACTGAACTCTTGTTATTTGACTATACCAAGGTAAATTCAATTTTGAATTATAGGTCACCTTTAAATTGAGTTAAATCTTGTATAAATTAAGTTGAAAATTGCTTACCTTATTTTGATGTGTTAAAGCAATGTAAAAACATTAAATTTTTTACAGTGTGTAAATAGAATTTCAGTTAATTTATTTGTTATGGGTTTATTCTACAATGAAACATTAATCATTAATGAGAGATGTTTATTTACATCTCATTCTCAGGAAAATACTAACACTTTCATTAATATAGATTAAAATTACAAATATGCACTCACTGTTTTTCCAAGCTGCTTTACGCATTTTATAAAATCCAGAATTTGTCTTTGTCTACATGCTCGTTATATCTCGTTGTTGCAATTCAGGACTGTTAATAATCTGGTTAACAACAGCAATTTTTTAACCAACTTTCAACCCTGAAATATAACAATTTCATCACAAAACATGTTTTGAAAGAAATATATCATGGATTATTAATAATTGTTAAATTATAAACTTGTGTATTATTCCAAGGCACGAGAAATACAATTTCACTCAGCTGTCTATTCAAATGACAAGTATATGAATCCTTAAATATGATACTGTGGTTCTTTAGGTTTAGTAACAATAATTAGCTATTGGTATTTTGCAAGGCTGTAAGCACATATTTAGAGATGGACCCTAATTGTCTACAGCTCTATTGTAAACATGATTTGCTTAACGTTCAGCGGTAACCTTGTCAAATGACATGGTAAAAAACTAAAATAATCTAAATAAATAAAAATACAAAATACATTTCCACTGAAAATTGCATCTACAAAGGGTCCAAAAAATGACACACACACACTGTCACGGTGTGGGTTTTGTGTTTTGTTCCTTGTTCTTGTCTGTCATGTGATTCCCTGTTTGTCATGTTATCCTGCCATGTGTCTTGTCTTTTGTCATGTTGTTGCTCAGTGTCCACAGGTGTTCCTCGTCTATGTCTATTAGTCTCCCCAGGTGTCTCTTATTAACCACGCCCCCTTGTTATCTTGTTTAGCTTGTTTGTCTGGGTATTTAAACCCCTGTGTTTCAGTTGTTGGCTGTCGGTTGTTGTTTAATGTTACTACTGTCTTGTTCTGAGTTCCCTGGATTTCCTGTTTGTTTCTGTTTAATTAAATGTGCTTGCGATTGGATTCACTCTCTGTTTCATCCTTGCTGCCGCGTAACAGAACAACCGACCGCCAATGAATCCAGCAGCACGGATCTCGTCTGATCTTCCCAGCATGGACCGGGAGTTTGCTGGGAAAACCGCGGCCTTAGCCCTGAACAGCCCGGATTTGTTTCAGTTTACCTGGGGGTTTGCTGCACTTGCTGCCTCATGCACCCTAGGGAATGAGGCTATAAAATTGTGTTACCGGCTGGGGGCTAAGGCGGTCAACCCTAGGGAGCTCCCCGATCTCTCTGGCCTGGATTGGAGAGAGGCACTCTCCAGTTGTCTGGAGAGCTTCAGCCCGGGGTACGCCAGGCCTTCAACACTGGTCCCAGTTCCGGTGGTTCCGAGTCCGGTGGCCCGGAGGAGGAGGAGAAAGGCCTCCTCAAAGACCGTCCAGCCAGAGACCGTCCAGCCAGAGACCGTCCAGCCAGAGACCGTCCAGCCAGAGACCGTCCAGCCAGAGACCGTCCAGCCAGAGACCGTCCAGCCAGAGACCGTCCAGCCAGAGCTTCACGTCAGCCACGTCCAGCCAGAGCTTCACGTCAGCCACATCCAGCCAGAGCTTCACGTCAGCCACGTCCAGCCAGAGCTTCACGTCAGCCACGTCCAGCCAGAGCTTCACGTCACTTCTGCCCAGCCAGAGACTGTTCACGTCACGTCTGCCCAGCCAGAGACTGTTCACGTCACGCCTGCCCAGCCAGAGACTGTTCACGTCACGTCTGCCCAGCCAGAGACTGTTCACGTCACGTCTGCCCAGCCAGAGACTGTTCACGTCACGTCTGCCCAGCCAGAGACTGTTCACGTCACGTCTGCCCAGCCAGAGACTGTTCACGTCACGTCTGCCCAGCCAGAGACTGTTCACGTCACGTCTGCCCAGCCAGAGACTGTTCACGTCACGTCTGCCCAGCCAGAGACTGTTCACGTCACGTCTGCCCAGCCAGAGACTGTTCACGTCACGTCTGCCCAGCCAGAGACTGTTCACGTCACGTCTGCCCAGCCAGAGACTGTTCACGTCACGTCTGCCCAGCCAGAGACTGATCACGCCACGCATGCGCCGCCTGAGCCCTCAGTGACCGCAACACTGGCCATTATGGCCACAGCCATGTGGTGTGTGTGGGCTACGCACACCCTTGAGCCAGAGCCCGCTGATCCTGCGCCAGAGCCCGCTGATCCTGCGCCAGAGCCCGCTGATCCTGCGCCAGAGCCCGCTGATCCTGCGCCAGAGCCCGCTGATCCTGCGCCAGTCCTGTCCAGCGCAGAGTTTCCTTCGCCGCTGGTTCTGCTTAGCTCAGGGCCCTCTTCACCGCCGTGGCCGCCCGAAGGGTCTTCACCGCCGTGGCCGCCCGAAGGGTCCTCTCCGCCGTGGCCGCCCGAAGGGTCTTCACCGCCCTGGCCGCCCGAAGGGTCTTCACCGCCGTGGCCGCCCGAAGGGTCCTCTCCGCCGTGGCCGCCCGAAGGGTCTTCACCGCCCTGGCCGCCCGAAGGGTCTTCACCGCCCTGGCCACCTGAACTGCCTGCTCCACCCTGGTCGCCTGCACAGCCTGGTCTGCCCACGCTCCATGGCCCAGGTCCACCATGTCCTGGTCCCGTTCCCCTGTGCGGGCCTGGCCCTCCATCCCTCCCCCAGACCGCCTCCGCTTCACCACCCTCCTGAACTATTGTTTTTTGTTTTTATGGGCGTCGGGAGCCGCCCATAGGGGAGGGGCTATGTCACGGTGTGGGTTTTGTGTTTTGTTCCTTGTTCTTGTCTGTCATGTGATTCCCTGTTTGTCATGTTATCCTGCCATGTGTCTTGTCTTTTGTCATGTTGTTGCTCAGTGTCCACAGGTGTTCCTCGTCTATGTCTATTAGTCTCCCCAGGTGTCTCTTATTAACCACGCCCCCTTGTTATCTTGTTTAGCTTGTTTGTCTGTGTATTTAAACCCCTGTGTTTCAGTTGTTGGCTGTCGGTTGTTGTTTAATGTTACTACTGTCTTGTTCTGAGTTCCCTGGATTTCCTGTTTGTTTCTGTTTAATTAAATGTGCTTGCGATTGGATTCACTCTCTGTTTCATCCTTGCTGCCGCGTAACACACACATGTGCAATAAGTGTATGCTGTGAGACATACACTTTAAAAGCCTGAGATTTGAAGAAAACAAACATGGCTTATTACCTGGGAGGTTTGAGGACAGACACTGGAAGCAGCACAAACTCAATAAGGGTTGTCTAATAAACCATGTCTGGAAAATGTCTCTGTCAAAGAACCAAAACTACACAGAAGATACAGTATCTGTCAATGAAACCTCACAAGAGATCATAAAGCCACAGTGGACGAGACGTGCCACCACTGCGTAAAGGGTATGGGAAGGCAAAAAAAAAAAGGGCTATGCACAATGCATCATCCAGCCTAGGGTGAATTTAGTATGTACATTAGATATGGGACAAATACATATAATGTAATTTAATGGAAAACGGCTGTATGTGAGTGGCAAGGCAGGGCTTTGAGCAGCTTCTGAAGTTGCTGACAATCAGTGTGTATTCACTCATAGAAAACAAAGGTTTGAACTTTAGGACGTTCTGTGACTGATGTGCACCTCTCAGCTACAGCACTAAAATGAACTCATTCAATATGATTTATGAAAATGAAAACAAAAAACAGACCACTAAATGTCTCACTATAAAGAATAACAAATGAACAGAGAGGATGAAGGGCAAAAGTTATTTGAAAACTTTAATTATCCATAGACATTTGACATTGACATGTTTAGCATTGAAATTTATAAGTATGTAGAAATTAACGTTAATATTAATAAATGCTGTAAGATTAATGTTCATGATGCATTAACTAATCTAACCTTATTGTACAATATTACCAAACATTCCTTACATTCTTATGTATATGTCAGGGTTTTATGATTAATTGTGCAAATTGATTTTTGTATTCATTGCCCTAACATGTTAAGTTGACAGCACTAGAGTGTGTGTGCACAAATATGCTGCTGACAGTAATAGTCACAGCTTTGTGAATGGTTGTTCTTACCTCTCTCACACAGTGGCCCAGTGAAGCCGTATACACACACGCAGAGGTTCGGTCCAATGCAGCGTCCACCATTCTGACAGGTCTTTTCACAGACAGCTGAAACAAAACCACCTGGGTTTAAATAGTGCAGTAACAGTCTGACTATCAAATGCATAACAAATCATAAGTTCACACACATTCTTCACATAAAAGCCAATATATTGGACCTGCCCTGCATGATTTGATGATGAAAGTGGGCTAAATTCTATTAGGTTTATTAGTGTTAAATGTCCTATGTGAAAAACATATGAGAAGGACACTTCAGGATAACTGAACACTGATTATGACTGGCTTACGGCTGTCGGCTGTTAACACAGTTAATGTCCAGACAGGTTTTTGTTGCTCATCTTACATTTCAAAACTTTGGCAAAAGGCCATGGCTTTAGAACCAGAATCAAAGGGGCTGTTTACACCTGGCCACTTCATGCGTTTTCTGTGATCGGATAGCTATCGATCGTGAAAAGACCAGGGCCTCGTTTATAACCGTTGCGTACGCACAAAACAGGCCCTGAAAGAGGCGTACGCCACTTCCGACGCATAAGTTGTGATTTATAAGAACAAACTTGACAGGAAAATGTGCGCACCTGCACGCAAACTCTGACCCATGCGTACGAACGTTTTGGAGATGGAGCAGTTTGGCGACACCGATGGTGAGCTGTAGTTAAATGTCTTTTTGGTCACTTTTAGACAGAAAATCTAAAGAAAATTATACATATACAGAAAGATAATACAAATATAATTTCACTCACCAAACCTACCACATGAAGCAAATATCCATCACTTCTTAAATATCCGCGCCAGCGAGTGCGTTGGGCCGTTTAGTGAATCTGACGCAGATGAAGTAAAACCGTAAATCTTCATTATGAGTCCATCATAAATACAGTGCATGTTCACAATAACAGTTTAAATAAATAAATGAATGATTTAAACTATGTTTTACTTCTGATATAAACATTTAGATTAAATATGCCATTCTCATTAATGGTGTTACACTTAAACTACATGAAATCATTACTGAGAAGTTACAACATTTTTATATTCAATAAATATAAATATTTGTTGTGGATGTGATGCTTTTGAACACTTTTCCTCTGGCATGCTGTCTGTGTTTTAATGTGTTAACTACAGAGATAATTGCTTATCATGATAATAGCAGATTGTCTGAGAAAATGGTTTCGTGCAAATAATGCACAACAAGGTCTATCTGTTTCCATTAAAAATATAAATCAATTAAAATACTATTTGCCCAGTGGAAAAGATTGAGAAAAACTTTCTCTGAAATGCATTTTGCACTATTTTATTTTATTTATTTAAAAAACAAGGGAAGGATGGGCTACTAAATGATTTTTATTAATGTAATGTGACGGCACATCCGTATTTCATATTTTCCTAATGTCTTGTACCGTTAAACATGTTATCATGTGGATGAATAATCATATGCAAATGATATGCAGATGAGGATATGCATAGTAAAACTAGGCGTTATAATCTCCATATATGGTTATTTCGGGGAGGAGACGCATGTGCGCACAATCTTCCGCTGACTGGGATTTATGAAGTGAATTCTGCGCAGGTTCTGGCGTACGCACGGTTTTATAAGTCTGAATATTTTTTTGCGTACGACATTTTTGGCTTTCGGGCGCACGTACACTTTTAGTAAGGATTCTACGCACAGTTTTATAAATGAGGCCCCAGGTGTAAATGCCCTCCGAAGCGCATTCGAGACGGGTTTGAATCCGCTCGCTCACACCACTTCAGGAGGAGGTCTGGGCCGCATTGCAGACGAAAGTGTTAATGCATCTGGTTGTTGAAACCACATATGTAAATTTTACTCCTCCCAAAAATGCTACAAAATAAATGTGTAAGAGCGTGTTATAGACTATGTCATGTTATAGTCAGATATGACACATCACGCATCACCTTAGATGAGCAGCTGAGCATCTATTCATCAAGCCAACGTGCAAACTAGCGCAAATCAAAGTGAAAGTAAGTCGCAGACACTTAACACACAATCATCTTCATTAAAAGTAAAGAAACGAAATGATCTTCTCAGGGCTGTTGCCACTCTCTCTTATTGCTGTCTTTGATTTTAGCTGATGATCAATAAAATGCAGCTCATATCTGTTGCTTTCGGTGACGTGCACTCCATAAATCTGCATATAGCGCGGGAATTGAAGATCGGATTTATATCCGTTTTGCAAAAACACATTTATATGACCAGGTGTAAATGGAATCGTTTCGATAAATCAGAAGCTATCCGATCTGAGAAAACGCATGAAGTGGCCAGGTGTAAACAGGAACAACGAGACTTTCAGCTGAGTGCCAAACAGACGAGCCAAGAGCTTTGGCCGGCCCTCTGCTGTCTATGAGCAAAGCCTTGAACTCCTACAGAAACGACTGATTCTCTGGATGATTTACATCTGCTGCAACCCTGGAGAACCTGGATGACCTGCAGAGGCCTGTGCCAATTATAGTTTATGACAGAGCAGGTGTCCCGTTTATGACGGGACACCTGCAGACCCTTCAAAACATTATTGCTAGTTTGTTAATTTTAATTTGTTCATTGTGAACATCAGCTGAACCTCAGTCTATGGAGTGAGACTATTTTACTGGACAACTTCTCAATTCAGTTGTTAACTAATTCCTAGCCAGGATGTTACTGTACAAACACCTAGATGGGGTTCTTGCTCCTGTATATAATAAAAACAAGTATCTTTGTTTAATCAAATCTTCGTTTCAAATCAAACTTGATTGAGGACAGGAATCTTGAAGCATTAGCCCCTTTAGGTAGTTATAGGAACTAGCCACCAGGTCGGTTCCCCGAGAACTAAATGTTTCCCTAGGAACGGTTTCCTGGTTGCATTCGCACCGCCAGTAGAAACTCTGAAGTGACGTAAGCCGCGGCTGCCGCGCTTGTTCTTGTGACCTTTATTTTAAAGCGTTGAGGACGCCAGAGCCTGAGCTCACAGCGCTCACATTCTCCGTGTTCATTAGTTTACGATCTGTTTAACGGTCCTGTCTAATACTAGCCTAGAAATCTAGACGCACCCTAGTGGCAGCAAAAATTATTTTGCAGCAAAGTGTGGTCTAGCAACTCTCCATAGACTTTTGAGCTGGAAAAACCAAAAACTGGTCCGGCCAATCAGATCGTGTAGAGTTGGTGGGCGGGCTTAACATAATGACGGCAGAGTTATGACGGTTCCGCGTGATTTCCATAGGAGATTTCCCTCTGCTTGAAAACAAAGAAGATGCTGCTGGCGAACAGCGGTCTTTCGAATCGGCTTTGGCCGCGACTCTGGATGACTTGGAGTTAAGAGAACGTCACTTAAGTCATTCCTAAAAAAGGAAGATGTGTTCAGAGTTTTGACGACCGGATACGGCAAAAGTTTAATATACCAACTAGCTGGTTCACTGGTGGAAAAACGCATGGGACTCACTCAGCCACAGCCGTTCGTTGCTCTGGTTGGTTGTAGCACTGTCCTATTGCGTGCCGAGGGATATTGAAAGACAACCGTTTATCCCGCCCCTCGGATTGAGGTATGCCAATTGTGAGTTCCCAGACCTAACATCTTGATGTAGGTCTGGCTTGCCAGGCTAGTCTAATACATTATTAGATATAACTGTTATACAAAGAAAGTAGACAGTATATGAAAAGGTATTAGTGTATGCCGTGTGGTTGATGTCCAGTGTTGCTTAGCAGAAATACATAATCATGTTTCTCTCAGTCTCCTCAAAGGTTAAGAGGCCCATCTATCACTGTTTTCCATGTTCGTAGAGTTAGTTTCTGCAGTCAATACTGTATATAGGCTATAATCAATGTGTTTACACAGCTTTAAAAAAAAATGGTGGGTCCTGGTGTTTCGCATGAGTTCGGCCAGTCAGTGTACACTAACGTCACTGGTAGTTCCTATAGTGCTGGTTTAGACCGACTCTGAAGTAGGAGTAATTTAGTTCCCCAAAAGAAGATCCTAGAACTAAAATAGTTAGTTTTAGTTCTGACGATTTTAACGATGCGAACACGCCAAAAAGCGGGTACTTCCGCTAATAGTTCTAGAAACTATGAAAAGGTTCCTCTAGTGCGAAAGCCCCTTGTGGCAGGGGGGGCATGGTTTAGCGAGGTCTGCAACAGGAGAGAGAGCCGGGAGACGAGCGGTGAGAAAGTGGGTTAAGGACAAATAACAAACACCTGTGTCTCGTTTCAGTAATTGGCATGGAGAGACCAGATAAAGCCACCAGGAAATGAGCAGCGAGGAGAGAGCGAGCTGGAGACTCGTGTGGTCCTGCAGTCTGCTGGAATAGTTTGAGAGGGAGAAGGCTGTAGTAAAACTACGGTGAATGCGCTACGGGCGTGCCTTTTTGTTTGGAGTTTATTTTGATGAATAAAACGCATGAGTCTCAACTACGCTGACCCTGTCCTCTTCCTTCCTTATCTTTAAACTCATTAGACCCCTTTTGTTGGAATGTGACTGAGCAAGGACTCAGGGGGCTTTCACACTGGCAGTTTAGTTGGGAACGGGGCACGGTTCGCATGAAAAATCGCTAATGTGAACGCTGTCATGGGACCCGGGTGCGCACTGGGGTACCGAACCCGAGACTACCTGGAAGAGGTGGTCTGAGTTCGGTTGCTCCCGAACCGTGCCGCGGTTCGCGTGAATGTGAAAGCAGCACGGACTCGGGTGCGCACTTGTTCAGGAAGTAAAGTAACCTGCGCATGCGTTTTAGCTTATTGTGATGTATTCAGTTAAATAAAACACTTGTAAGGGATGATAGTGTTGATGATTTACCTTGGATACGAGCGAGAGTGAGCCTGCAGTGTATTCCTGCATTGCGCGTGAAATCAGGGCAACAAATTTGAGTCCGTTTGCCAGCAGCAGAAGGCCACCTTATGCGACACACGCACAGTAAACCTGTATTGTTCACTCAACTGCGCATAATAGCAGCGAATTAATAAAAAAAAACACAATATTGACACGCGTTCTGTTTTCTATCATGCGCCGTGCACATGATACCAGGGTTCGATAGAATCAAGTTGAGTGTGAAACCAGACCAACGCTGCGGGGGGCGCCGGGAACAAACGCGCTCGGGCTCGGACCGCAGCAAACCAGCCCAGTGTAAAAGCCCCCTAAGAGGTTGGTTGATTTAGGCAAGTGGGAATATCACTGAACTGAACTCTAGCAGGACCTGGAAGCCCTTAAAGAGACCTTAGCAAAGATGTGACAAATAATTTATGGGGAATGAAAACAAGCCAATCATCATCATTTCAGAGGACACATGTCAAGGCACCTTCATTTATATAGCGCTTTTAACAATATAGATTGTTTCAAAGCAGCTTTACAGAGATAATAGGACATTAAAGTAACAGAGATTGTTTTGGCTTTACAGCAACTCTAGAATAAAGTTATTGTCCAGCTAAAGTTAGAGGAAGGAGGGAAAGAGGGCGAGGGGGAATTGCAGTAATCAAGTCGCAAGATGTCTGGGGTCTGGAACCTGAGGAGTTAAATTACCAGAAATGGGCTGATGCTGTGAACCATTAAGGAGCAGGGTCAAAGGTAGTCCAAAGAGGAACTGGTCACCTTGGGCAGTGCTTCTCAAACCTGTCATGTAAGCCCCCACCACTGTAGACACCACTGTTAGTCTCCATCTAACACACCTGATTAAACTCACCAGCTCATTAGTAGAGGCTGCAAGACTTGAATTTTGTGTATCTTACAATGGAGACAATCAAAAATGTGCAAGTAGTAGGGGTCCCAGGACAGGTTTGAGAGGCACTGCTTGATTGGTGCTTGATTGGGGAGACATCCCAAATGTTCAAGTGAAGTGAAGAAATGCTAATTGTGACGCAAGTCGAAAAAGGTCTGTGTTCTTCTTTACAAACAGTAGGTACTTCGAGACCACATGGATCAGGAGATCTCCAGAGGTTAGTGTGCGACAGATGACACTGGGTGGTTTAGTAGACTGTTTTGAAGAAACGGACAGGAATAAGTAACAACATGTTGAGTCTTGGATGTGTGCAGTTTGGAAAGGATCAAGTACTACGCAGGGCAAAGACCACAAACACAATGTATACTCACGCTGTCCACAAAAGATTCCTGTATATCCCTTTGGACAATGGCAATGGTCCTCTTCACACACTCCTCCATTCATACATCTGATATTGCACCGTTGGGCTTAAGCAAGAAAATAGGGAGGGAGAAAGAAATATTTTAGTCACAAGTGATTACAAGTTATGACTGGTTAGGTCTGTTTTACATGCCTAATGTGTACTTCACTGCTTTTTCTTCCAAAATTCAGTTTGAATAGAAATTTGTTAAATATGCAATATAATGTAGAAGAAAAAACAAACATATTCTGTACAGTAGAACACATAATATATAAAACATACATGATTTGGTGGCACAGGATGGGGCTATTTGGCCACCAGGACATGTGCACATGTTGGGTCTGGAGCAGAAACCACCACCACAGCTGTTCCGGCAAATGGCTACGATAAAGAGCATGTGGCAATATTAACAGAAAATGTCACTGGAATGAGAAACTTGAGTGTTTAAAGTGTTTTCAATGTGTGTGAATCAGCTGGTGTTTTGGTGATTGTTAGTTAGTGGATGCATGACATCAGTTCACCCCAAGTTCACACAGGTGTCTGAGCAACTACGAGTGTACAGAAATCACAAACGCAATACTGTCTTATTTTTCTTTACTTGATAAACTGTAAGAAGTTTTGTAGATGTATGACAGAAATAAAGTCAAATTGGTCAGTAATAAGTGATGCTGTAGTCATGCTGTTTGTGGAGCTGTTTAATCCTCCTCTGCTGAGATCTTGAGAGATTAAATGTCTGCTTTTGTCTTCATTCTTCAATTGATTTAATCTAAGGCTGTGGCTGGAATACTGTTGTAGTGCTTGTGTTTCTGCTCGTCGCTTCTATTTTTTCTGTTCTTGTTCCTCTTTCCTTCAGTGATTCTGCTTATAAACAGCAGGCGTTCATCACTAATGCTCAATTATCAATGAATCACTTAATTATCTCATTAACCACAACAATGTACTCTTTGCATTGTGAAAACACATGAACACTGAACAGTATTCAGTAAACATTGATGATATTGCTGTGGGATTAAAGGTTTACAATAAAAGATGCCGCTAAACGCGAAGGTTGTACTAATAACGGAAAAAGGACTAAAAACCCTGTACTCTGCTGCCAGGACACCAAGACATTAGCAGTACTATGTAAAAAAACAACGCGTCTACAGACTGAAGTGTAATACAAATGCAAATGTTGTCACCTTTTTCACATATTAACAGTTTTGTAGTTTACATGAAGACAATAACAGTATCGTTTTCAAAAGTTTGGTTTTCAGGACCCCAAAACGCCTTTTTTCATGTATATGACATGCCAGAATGAAATTGATTTATTTTTTGCTATTTTTTAGATGAAGATGAAACTCAATAAACCTTATTGGTTCTTGCTGAAGCTCAAACGTGCTGCGTAACACGAGAATGAACCTCATTGGTTCTTGCTAAAGCTCAAACGTGCTGCGTAACATGAGAATGAACCTCATTGGTTCATGCAGAAGCTCAAACGTGCTGCGTAACATGAGAATGAACCTCATTGGTTCTTGCTGAAACTCAAACGTGCTGCGTAACACGAGAATGAACCTCATTGGTTCTTGCTGAAGCTCATACGTGCTGCGTAACACGAGAATGAACCTCATTGGTTCTTGCTGAAGCTCAAACGTGCTGCGTAACACGAGAATGAACCTCATTGGTTCTTGCTGAAGCTCAAACGTGCTGCGTAACACGAGAATGAACCTCATTGGTTCTTGCAGAATCTCAAACGTGCTGCGTAACACAAGGATGAACCTCATTGGTTCTTGCTGAAGCTCAAACGTGCTGCGTAACACGAGAATGAACCTCATTGGTTCTTGCTGAAACTCAAACGTGCTGCGTAACACGAGAATGAACCTCATTGGTTCTTGCTGAAGCTCAAACGTGCTGCGTAACACGAGAATGAACCTCATTGGTTCTTGCTGAAGCTCAAACGTGCTGCTTAACACAAGAATGAACCTCATTGGTTCTTGCTGAAGCTCAAACGTGCTGCGTAACACGAGAATGAACCTCATTGGTTCTTGCTGAAGCTCAAACGTGCTGCGTAACACGAGAATGAACCTCATTGGTTCTTGCTGAAGCTCAAACGTGCTGCTTAACACAAGAATGAACCTCATTGGTTCTTGCTGAAGCTCAAACGTGCTGCTTAACACAAGAATGAACCTCATTGGTTCTTGCTGAAGCTCAAATGTGCTGCGTAACACGAGAATGAACCTCATTGGTTCTTGCTGAAGCTCAAACGTGCTGCGTAACACGAGAATGAACCTCATTGGTTCTTGCTGAAACTCAAACGTGCTGCGTAACACGAGAATGAACCTCATTGGTTCTTGCTGAAGCTCAAACGTGCTGCGTAACACGAGAATGAACCTCATTGGTTCTTGCTGAAGCTCAAACGTGCTGCTTAACACAAGAATGAACCTCATTGGTTCTTGCTGAAGCTCAAACGTGCTGCGTAACACGAGAATGAACCTCATTGGTTCTTGCTGAAGCTCAAACGTGCTGCTTAACACAAGAATGAACCTCATTGGTTCTTGCTGAAGCTCAAACGTGCTGCTTAACACAAGAATGAACCTCATTGGTTCTTGCTGAAGCTCAAATGTGCTGCGTAACACGAGAATGAACCTCATTGGTTCTTGCTGAAGCTCAAACGTGCTGCGTAACACGAGAATGAACCTCATTGGTTCTTGCTGAAGCTCAAACGTGCTGCGTAACACGAGAATGAACCTCATTGGTTCTTGCTGAAGCTCAAGCGTGCTGCTTAACACAAGAATGAACCTCATTGGTTCTTGCTGAAGCTCAAACGTGCTGCGTAACATGAGAATGAACCTCATTGGTTCTTGCTGAAGCTCAAACGTGCTGCGTAACATTAGAATGAACCTCATTGGTTCTTGCTGAAGCTCAAACGTGCTGCTTAACACGAGAATGAACCTCATTGGTTCTTGCTGAACCTCAAACGTGCTGCTTAACACGAGAATGAACCTCATTGGTTCTTGCTGAAGCTCAAACGTGCTGCGTAACACGAGAATGAACCTTATTGGTTCTTGCTGAAGCTCAAACGTGCTGCGTAACACGAGAATGAACCTCATTGGTTCTTGCTGAAGCTCAAACGTGCTGCGTAACATGAGAATGAACCTCATTGGTTCTTGCTGAAGCTCAAACGTGCTACGTAACACGAGAATGAACCTCATTGGTTCTTGCTGAAACTCAAACGTGCTGCTTAACACGAGAATGAACCTCATTGGTTCTTGCTGAAGCTCAAACGTGCTGCGTAACACGAGAATGAACCTCATTGGTTCTTGCTGAAGCTCAAACGTGCTGCGTAACACAAGGATGAACTTCATTGGTTCTTGCTGAAACTCAAACGTGCTGCTTAACACGAGAATGAACCTCATTGGTTCTTGATGAAACTCAAACGTGCTGCTTAACACGAGAATGAACCTCATTGGTTCTTGCTGAAGCTCAAACGTGCTGCGTAACACGAGAATGAACCTCATTGGTTCTTGCAGAATCTCAAACGTGCTGCGTAACATGAGAATGAACCTCATTGGTTCTTGCTGAAGCTCAAACGTGCTGCGTAACACAAGGATGAACTTCATTGGTTCTTGCTGAAGCTCAAACGTGCTGCGTAACACAAGGATGAACCTCATTGGTTCTTGCTGAAGCTCAAACGTGCTGCGTAACACAAGGATGAACTTCATTGGTTCTTGCTGAAGCTCAAACGTGCTGCGTAACATGAGAATGAACCTCATTGGTTCTTGATGAAACTCAAACGTGCTGCGTAACACGAGAATGAACCTCATTGGTTCTTGCTGAAGCTCAAACGTGCTGCGTAACACGAGAATGAACCTCATTGGTTCTTGCTGAAGATCAAACGTGCTGCGTAACACGAGAATGAACCTCATTGGTTCTTGCTGAAGATCAAACGTGCTGCGTAACACGAGAATGAACCTCATTGGTTCTTGCTGAAGCTTAAACGTGCTGCTTAACACAAGGATGAACCTCATTGGTTCTTGATGAAACTCAAACGTGCTGCGTAACACGAGAATGAACCTCATTGGTTCTTGCTGAAGCTCAAACGTGCTGCGTAACACGAGAATGAACCTCATTGGTTCTTGCTGAAACTCAAACGTGCTGCTTAACACGAGAATGAACCTCATTGGTTCTTGCTGAAACTCAAACGTGCTGCTTAACACGAGAATGAACCTCATTGGTTCTTGCTGAAGCTCAAACGTGCTGCGTAACACAAGGATGAACTTCATTGGTTCTTGCTGAAACTCAAACGTGCTGCTTAACACGAGAATGAACCTCATTGGTTCTTGATGAAACTCAAACGTGCTGCGTAACACGAGAATGAACCTCATTGGTTCTTGCTGAAGCTCAAACGTGCTGCGTAACACGAGAATGAACCTCATTGGTTCTTGCAGAATCTCAAACGTGCTGCGTAACACAAGGATGAACCTCATTGGTTCTTGCTGAAGATCAAACGTGCTGCGTAACACGAGAATGAACCTCATTGGTTCTTGCTGAAGATCAAACGTGCTGCGTAACACGAGAATGAACCTCATTGGTTCTTGCTGAAGCTCAAACGTGCTGCTTAACACAAGGATGAACCTCATTGGTTCTTGATGAAACTCAAACGTGCTGCGTAACACGAGAATGAACCTCATTGGTTCTTGCTGAAGCTCAAACGTGCTGCGTAACACGAGAATGAACCTCATTGGTTCTTGCTGAAGATCAAACGTGCTGCGTAACACGAGAATGAACCTCATTGGTTCTTGCGGAAGCTCAAACGTGCTGCGTAACACGAGAATGAACCTCATTGGTTCTTGCTGAAGCTCAAACGTGCTGCTTAACACGAGAATGAACCTCATTGGTTCTTGCTGAAGCTCAAACGTGCTGCGTAACACAAGGATGAACTTCATTGGTTCTTGCTGAAACTCAAACGTGCTGCGTAACATGAGAATGAACCTCATTGGTTCTTGCGGAAGCTCAAACGTGCTGCGTAACACAAGGATGAACTTCATTGGTTCTTGCTGAAACTCAAACGTGCTGCTTAACACGAGAATGAACCTCATTGGTTCTTGCGGAAGCTCAAACGTGCTGCGTAACACGAGAATGAACCTCATTGGTTCTTGCTGAAGATCAAACGTGCTGCGTAACACGAGAATGAACCTCATTGGTTCTTGCTGAAGCTCAAACGTGCTGCTTAACACGAGAATGAACCTCATTGGTTCTTGCTGAAACTCAAACGTGCTGCTTAACACGAGAATGAACCTCATTGGTTCTTGCTGAAGCTCAAACGTGCTGCGTAACACAAGGATGAACTTCATTGGTTCTTGCTGAAACTCAAACGTGCTGCTTAACACGAGAATGAACCTCAT